TATATATTAATAAAATCTCTAGATTTTCAGCTTTATTTTGATATATTTTTTATTAATTTCTATGCAGTAGTTTTTGATAATGAATAAATAAAAAATTTCAAAAAGTTTTGTTACACACTGTATATAAAAAACAAAAATTTTTAAACTTGTTTGATTTTTAATTAAAAATTTTATTTTAATATGACAATAGTTTTTATTTTTAAGTTTATAATATAATTAGTATATAAATAAAAAAAAATAAAAATAATTTTTCAATAAATTAATAATAAATAGATAAAAGTTTTTTTTAATATTAATTAGTCTTATTTTAAAGAATTATAAAAATTTATAGTTTTATAAAATATTTTAAAAATATGTAATTAATAAATTTAAAATTTCAAAAAATATTATGAAATTTAATTTTTTTTTTAATGTAAAAATTTATCAAAAAATTATTTAAATCTATATAAACTAACAAAATTTTTTTAAAAATAAAAAAAAAATAAAATAAAAATAAAATAAATAAAAAATAACAATAAAAATTATAAAAATAATTTAAAATTCTTTTAAATATTATAAATTATAAGTATTAAATTTAAATTTTAAATTTTATAAATAAATAAATAAATATTCAAAAAAATAATTATTTTTATTTTCTAATTATATTTAAAAACATTAATTTAAATCAAATATTTAAGCCTATAAAATAATTTATATAATATAATATAATTTATATTATTTGTTTTTTATAAAAATTTAATAAATATTGTATATAGTATATATATACTTGTTTGATTATAAAAAAAAAATAAAATTTAATAATAAAAATATATTAATTATATGAATATTGTAATTAAAAAATTTTCAAATTATATATATACATTAATATAATATATTTTTTTAAAAAATTCATATAATTAAAATATAATAAATTAAACAATATATAGAAAAAAACAATAATATTTGAAATTTATCAACTTACAATTCAAATAAAAAATTTACTATAAATCATAACTTTAATTATAAATATTGTATATTAATATTATTATAAAATTTTTTTTTTAATTAATATATAATTTTAAATTAAATATAAATTACAATAATTTGTTATATATTATTTAATAATTCTATTATAATTTTTGAAAAATAATTAAATTTAATTTTACTATATGCAATAAATAATTTTGATGATTTTTTAATATATAAGATAAAATTTATTAAGATTTTAAATATTAGAATTAGTATTAATTAATTTTTTCAAAAAAATTTTATTTTGAAAATTTTGCACCGATTATATTTAGTTAAAAAAGCCACTATTAAATTATCAGTCATGTGAACGACGAATTAAAAAGTTTGCATTGCATTATCGCAATATAGATTTGCTTTGCTAATAATGGGCGCCCAAGGATCAAAACAAATTCAAAGAAAGTTGCCGAAGCATGTTGTTTCCGAGGTTAAGTCTAGTGCATTAGAATCGCACTTGACACGAAATTCAGGAAACAATTTAACTCATAATGTTAGTACAACGCGTAATGAAGGTTGGTTATAATTTTTATTTTTCGTGGTTTATTTCCTCTATCTAGTTATTTATTCTTGGAATTATAAAAAATTAGTTATTGAAGAAGACGGAAAAGATCCTCATTTGTTAGACAATTTGACGAAAATCGGACAAGTTACTTTACCAAAGGACAGGCTGACATTTAAACAAGTAAATTTGTTGAAACTGCGTTTGAAAATTTAAACGTGAAACCAACCTTTTAACACTAATTCAATTAATTTCGATCAACAAACCACATGAAGTCGGAGGAAATATCGAAAATATTCAGAAACAGGCAAGCGGAGAACACATCAAATAGAGAAACATTGCCAAGGAACAGAGTGTCCGTGCAAGATTTACGAGATATGTTGAATAAAAGAAATTCTTTCCCGAATGAATGGACACTCGAAAAGTTATCATCCGAGTATAATTTAGACCCGCAAACAATCCAAATTTTATTGAAACATATAAACACATATACAATTGAAAGAGGTACGAACACAATAGCATCATGGCCTGATAGTCCAGAAAAGAAATGAGGATAATACTAGTAGTCAATAGATATTATGTCCAGAAATGCGTTAGGGTGATAGGCAGCGTAATGAATATACAGTATATATAAAGCGTTCGTCTGAATTCTCGTGAAAGAACAACATCTATATAGATCAATAGAAAGGACTGATTTTATAAATATTGAATTGTCATTAAATGGCCTATGGATCGAATGTCATATTATGCCAACCCATTGTTAATTTGCTTTTCCCGCCCACCACAATCTAAATTTATCCACAATGCCGGATGATTCTTTTTTTGTTTCAATGACCTCTATTTTTTTCGTCGTTAATTTCCCCATGGTATTCTGAGATCCTTCAGGCGTTGAACTTGTTTTTGGAACTTCAATGGCTTGTTTGTTTTGAATGCTCATGAATTTTTGTGCCGTTTCAGTGTCAAATGCTATTCCGGCCTGGCGGAATTGTGTGTTGAGAATATTTAGTTTCTCCGATACCTCTCTGTCTCCCGCAAGTTTAGCCATTTGCATGAACGAAGGCATTTGACCAGTGCTTAGATCAACACCTTTAACTTTCAAAAGTGCAGCGAACTCGTTGATAGATTCCAGAATGGTTGGATCCGAACGAATCTTGGTGATAATAGGGTCGTCGGGATCAATTTTCATATTATTGTCCAAACCAAGAGATGGCCGAAAATCTCGATTCGTGGCATGGAATAACCGGTGAGTGGGTGATAAGGTTGAATTTATTACATTTATGAATCCGTATTTTAGCCTAACATGTGCATTATAAATAAAATATGGATAATGGTCATATCGAGCGACACATCGAAAAGACATCTTAGAGTGTGGGTGGGTAAAAAAAAGTTGTTCCCAGACTTAATTTATGTGTGTAATTTTGTGTTACATATGCGTAATTCGATTTGATGATTAGAGATCCTTTTAAAGATTTACTGATAACAATGCGGAATCCGCTTTTTCCAGGTTCTGATTCTTCCCCTCCTCGGGTTCTTTCTCTCACCACCTCAACAACCGAGTCAAAATATTCCGAAGACCCTAAGGACTGTGTCTTTTGTAAAATTATTTCGGGGGAATTGCCATGTATTAAAATTTTCGAAAATGAACATGTTTTAGCATTTTTAGGTAACTATTCTTGTTTCGGGTCGGTTTATTTCAGAAATACGTAATATTTTGATGATATAAAATCTACTTGATAATAATAGATGCGGCGCCTATTTCAAGAGGGCACTCTCTTGTAATCCCGAAAACTCATGTTACGAAATTGACATTGGCTTCTTCGTCCCTTGTTGCCGAAATCGGAGCAGTTTTACCAAAAGTCACTAATGCTGTGATAAAAGGTGTAAACGCTACAGATTTCAATGTATTGCAGAACAATGGTCAACTAGCTGGACAAGTGGTTTTCCATCTGCATTTTCATATCATTCCGAGGTTCAAAAACGAAGATCAGTCAGCGGACAGAAAAGTGAAAGGCAGATTAAGACTTTCAAAAGAGGAAACCGAGGGAATAGGAAGTAACATCAGGGCAAAGTTATAGATTTATTTAAATACAATAAAGAATAAAAAATTTTTTTTCTTTAACGTACCGGTTTTAAATTATACAATCATCATCATCATTAAATTTTTTATTACTTGTTTTATAAAAGTTTATAATAAAAACATATATTATAAGGAGAAATATGAATAAAAAAACTGAATTTTGATTATATTATTTTCGTGTGTTTAATATTAATAATCAACTAATAAACAATTAAAAAAATATACATAATTTTAAAAAAAATTTTTATATGAAGTGAATTAAGTAAAATAAAAAAAAAAAAAATCAATTAAAAAAAAAAAAAAATCATTATGAAAAAACAATAAATTATATTAAGTTTATTGATTATATTTCGTAATATAAAAATTTGATTTATCATTATTTAAATTATTTTAAATACAGTAGATATAACAGACTGTGCATCATCATTATATACTGTATATTGTTCAAGACCACCAAAGATAATAAAATTTAAAAATGTAATGGGATACCAATAATAATAATAAAAAGGTTGTGAAATAAATTTAGATTTCGCATAATTGATATAAAAGAAATTTAATTATTGCGAATACTCATAAAAGAATTGTCTTTTTATTAATTTTTTATTAATTATTCAAATATTGTATGTAAAAAAAATCATCGGTGGTACAATCATTCTTAATATCCAGCGCCAACGTATATGGTAATCTTGATAATTCTATATAGAGAATACGAAAACTGGTATTTGTTATATGTTGAAAAAAAAATTATTAAAATCGAAATCGGCATACTCTTTTTATAGACAAAGCCAGTATCGCATTTCGATAAAATATTGAAATCGAAAAACCGTGTATTTAAACAATTTATTACATTTTTGGATTGTTTTTACAGCGATAGTTCTTTGAGTGGAAACATACATCCCTTCCTCGAACACAAAAAGTTTTTATAAGAGGGTGCTTGAAAGAATTAATCGGTTAAAGGTAAATATCAAAGTTCACTGGATAAAAATTTATCTCCGAAAAATTTCTATTACGAATTTGAGAGAGAAGTCTATTGTTGATTTTATATTGGATTAGAATTAAAATTCGAAACTCGTCGTGTGTCTTAGTGTCCAATGAGGAGGTCTTTGAGAGACGGAAAGTCTATAAGAACAGGAGCTGAATTTATACGGTGTACCTAACAAGTCATTCTCAAAAGAGGTTCAAAAACCTCAACAATCGCAAAAGTTCAACGATTCAGGCCGTTGTCGTATAGTGGCAGTACATCGCGTTGTGGCCGCGCTAGCCCAGGTTCGATTCCTGGCAACGGCAGGGAGTAATAGAATGCTCATGCTTATGACCTTGGAGACAAGGTTCGAGCATTTTTTTTGTTTTCGTCGATGTCCGACATTACATTAATTTGTTTGTTTCCTAATTTGGTAATAGTTTGGGATTATCATTATTATCATTTGAATTTCACATTATATTCGTTCAGATAATTAATTCGTAAACCTTGTTCGTGGATACACAAACAAACGATTGAAAATTTTTTTTTTACACAAACTTGTGAAAATTAATTCATTATAAGAATGGAAATCGATACACTCTCTGTAATTCTCATATTCCTAATAGTCTTTTTTGTCTTCTTAACTATTCGAGATGCACCAAATCCCGACGTGCATCCATTATTGCTTACCTTGCAATCCGATGCAGCTAAGGTTAGGTATCCTGGAGAGTCGGCAGTTTATAGAAGAGGCGGAAGTCAGAACGGGATGGGTATATTTGAAAGAGATGCAAAGACTTTAGCGGATTTGTTTTCTAATAAAACAAACAAGGACATGCAATGCTTGGGTAGTCGACGAGATGGGAGCGGGAAGTATGTTTGGGTAGGTGCTTTTTATACATATGGGTGAATTGGAAAGCGTATATGTTTGGTGAGGTAAGGGGGTGTGAATTAGTCTCATTTCTGATGTACGACTTTTGTTTAATTCATTCCTGAAAAGCAAACTTATGGTACGTATGTTTCCCTTGGTTCGATTAACTCCAATCTCACGGTATTTACGGTGTTGACATGTGAAAAAAGAACAAGTGGCCGAGAGGGTTGCGAACTTTGGATCAGGATTGATCAAGCATACTGGGTTGGAGTCAAAAGACTTGCTTGGAATTTTTATGAATAGTAGACCAGGTATTGGATTAGTACCATTTATTTGTTATGAGGGAATCATTGACATGCAATTAACTAATAAACATGCAATGTTTCATGTAGAATGGGTGATCGCCGATTTGGGTGAGCTAAAATTATTTCACGAATCAAATATGTGCATCGTGGATAAATAGTAATTACCTTCAATTAATATATAGCATCTAGTCATTACAATCTGATCACTGTGGCCATGCTGAGCAGTTCACCACGTCTCACCGATGTCATTAATCAATTACAGCTCACCGATGTTCGAGTGATTGTAGTGTCCCAAGAAACTCTACCAGTCATATTTTCGGCTTCGTCATCACCTAACAGTTTAAGACACGTCATTCTGGTCGGTGATAACAAGACAGTCATCACAGACGAACAGAGAGAACAGGCGAACGCTTTGAAGTTGAATTTGTGTTCTTTTGAAGAGATTGAAGAGATCGGGAAGAAGGAAAGGGTAGAATACAAATTTGCTGGTATATAGTTTGTGACTATTGTTCGCAAGGTTTAGTGTAAATTTTTCGTGTGATCCCGATGCTTATTTAAATGATGATCACGATAGCACCCAAAGACACGGCAACAATAGTGTTCTCGAGGGGTACAACATCTGAAGTAAGTATTTGGGTATTCTGTATCCGTGATTAATAATGGCGTGTTTATATCGCAACTTGTTGTCTTATCCAGGGACCCAAAGGAATTGAGTTAACTCACGAGGTATATTTCCTAGCAATACCCGTTATTGATTTAATGAGACAAATTTTTATATAACAAATGTATGCCTTCATATCGTGTAACACAGAATATTTTGGCGGACATAGGTTGGTGTTATTCTTCAATTCAAGCATCAGTTTCAGGCACAAATTATATCTTTGTCAAATTTATCAATTGAAATATAGCTGGAATACTTACCACCGTACACGATAAGCAAAGGACAAACCATGAGGACAGATACTTGTCACATATGCC